GGGACAGAAAGATACAAAATGTTGTTAATAAGGGTGACTGTTTACATCCTACAAGGGAAGATGACACTTGCAACTCTTGAGAACTGTGTTGTTATTACACCATGTTAAAGGAGTAAACATAAAGGGGGTGAATATTAGTTGACTTTGATGTAATAATAAAAAAAAATCTAATCAAGTGGGTTAAATGGATCCAAGTAAGTGGATTAGTCTGATCTTAGAAAATGTACTGAGAAAGGAGGAGGCAGACAAGGGTAAATTACATTACAGGAAAAGACAGAAAATCCTATTGCAGCAGAGGGAAAGAAGAGAGGGGGTGAGCATTGTTTGAACCTTACTCTCATCAGATTTGGCTCAAGAAGGGAATAACATAGTTCAGTTGGTATAGAAATCTAACTTGCCTATGGGCAGTAGGAGGGAAGGGGAAGAAAAGGGAGGGGGATAGAAGGAGGGAAGAAGCAGTAAGGGCAAAGGGGAAGAAAAGGGAAAGGGATAATAGAAGGGAGGAGAGACTGAAGGAGGCGGTGGTCAAGAGCAAAACACTAGTGAGGAGGGAAAAGGAGAAAGGGGAAAGAAAAGCATCAATGGGGAAAAAAGGATGGAGAAAAAGACAGTAATCATAACTGTGAAAGTTGAATCGCTATGTTTTTTTTTTTCCTCTTCTGTTGAGTTTTGTTTCTTCTTTCTGATGGCTCCTCCTATTGGTTTTAATTTTTACTTACAACTTCACCAATGTGAAAATATGTTTAATAGGAATGCAAATGTATAGCCTGTATCAGATTATGCGCCATCTTGGGGAGGGTGGCTGGGAGAAAAGGGGAGAAAAATTTTAAACTCAAAAGCATATAGAAGTGATTGTTGATAAATCAAAATAAATTAATAAAATAAAAAAAGAGGTTAAAAAAAAGAAAATATCTGGGGTGTGAGTGGAGGATAGATTAGAGTGGTGAGAGAGTTGAGGTGATGAGAATCTCTACCTGCTGGCAGCTGTGTGAGTGGAGAGAAGGGGATATTTATGAAAAATGAGGTGAACGTTCAGGAAGTTCTCCTGGGTAATGTAGCCAGGGTCTGGTAAATTCTGTCCCTACAAAAATCTTTGAGTAGTTGTTTATTCTGCTTTATGGACATTTAGCCCCTTCTTTTTAGTTCTTTGAGCTGAGCTACATCTTTCTGTAAGAACATCTTGGATCCTATTCTCATCACTTGTATTCCTGTTTTTTACTTTTTATCATTATTTTCCTTTTCTAGTGAACTTTCTTAAACTAGCCTTTCTTTGATGAATTAACTCATTCCTACATTCTCTGACTCTTCTGCAACCATAAGTTCACTGTAAAAAAGAAAACAACCTAATTTTTCTCAACAAAAAATTTCATATAAGTATTCCCTAAGAATATTTAAAGTATTTATGATCTCACATGTGTTTTATGTTATATTGGTCTCTACATCCATTTTCCCTATATCAGATTGCTATTTAGTCTAGCATTCTAAAGTAGAGATACATTTTGCCATATGTAATATTTTTTAAAAACCACTTGTTTTATTTGGGAACATATAGAAGTAGAGTACATTGGGGGGGATATGTACATTCTGAATTACTTTGTGAATGTTACTTTACCTATACTGTACATTTAGAATTATAATTAAACTAGGTGAAGAAATGGCATATTCATTTGTTTAATAATTGTGAAACCTTCATTTTCACCTTTTCTTTTTCCCATTCAGTTTTTAGATTGAAAATACTTAATTCAGTATAGCCTACTATAAAAATTAAGTCTCTCAGAACAATTTCTATTCATTTCTCTAGAATTTTTAAAAGGTATTTGAATAATTCTTTTTCAGTATATTTGAAATGAGTAATAGACATTAGTTCAAAGAAACCTAAAGTAACATGTTGCTGCCCGTGACATCTTAATGTAGTTGCTTGCTGCCCTCTACAGTTAGGTATGGAAGATTACAGGTTTGTGGGAATTTTAAAAATTCAGATTTCTCTAGGGTATTTGATTTTCATCTAGAATATAAATCATTAAATGCCCATTTTAATTAATTTTTTCAAAGTAGAATGTGCCATTCTAAAGTCTTTCCAACCCTACCCCACCCCGTTTTTAATGAAACAATATAATATAATACAATACAATACAATACAGGCCTGGCCCATACGTATTATATGGGGGGAGTTAACATTGTTTCATTTAAATGATAATGAAAATTTATAACTGGATGACCTCAGCATTTTCCAGGAGCTAAAAATCCGAATAAGGACTGGCAATTCTGTAATTGAACAAACCGATATGAACCAGTTGCTGTAATGTGAAATCTGTTGAAACCGAAGACTTTATGCTGAATTTACCATGTAAATGCTTTTAAACATAGAATTGTTTCCTTCTGGATCCCATTGGTTACAAAATAATTATGAGCAATCAACCAAGTACTGGCAGTGTTGTAATAACTGGCATATAGAATCATCCCTGTATCCTGGTCAAATGTGGAATGTCTTAACTTGGCAGAATATCATTGGAAAAAATTATATCAGTATTAAAAGAGAAATTTTTTCCATGTTAAGGATTGCAATTACCATCTTAACATAGTTATATAAGTTTAACAAACTTTTACCTTAGTATTTTGGGTTTTAGTGACATAGGAAGGAAGAAGGACATTTCAAAAAAAAACAGTATGTGGACATGAATATCCTTTAGTGACATTTTTAAATGACTGCTGCCACCCTGCCATTTCTCCTTCTACCTTTGTAGTAGAAGGCACTTGTGAAAAATGTTAACTGTTTGGCAAAAGCTATTGTTTATTTTGATAAATAGCCAGATATTACAGAGCATAAATCATCATGCCCATAGGTTTGTGTTTGGCCTCTTTCATTGATATATCTGATAAGATGCCCTTATAGTTAAGAAGTCTGAGTAATAGATTGGATTTTAATATTCCATTGAAAATGTAGATATACATCTTTTTTCTTGTTTGATTTCCAAATAGATTGCCTTCAAGTGTCCTCCTTTAACCTATAACCCTGTGATCATTTGCTTGAATTGATTTAATTTTCATTAATCAACATTTATTGACTTCTGCTTTTCGTAGAGCAATGTGTATGATGGTGGGATTTTTTATTTTTTGATTTTGTTACTGCCTTTGAGGTTATTACTCATTTAAGAAGATAGAGAAAAAGTCGTAAAAGTGATAAAAGAGAATTTTAAAAGACATAAATAAATTCAGTGTAAAATATATACCTAATTCCTGAGAGAGTGGGACATTTAAGACTTGCTTTCCTTGTGAACAAAAACAGTGTTTGGCTTAAAAATTATTTTCAGTGAAACACCATAATAATCCAGCAGTCTTTTCTAAGAGCTGTAATATATTAGAGTTCTTCAGAGCTTAACTAAAATTTTAAAAGAAAAACTTCCGTGCCTTTTAGTTAGCATTACCTTTTTTCCTTGATTTTACACTTCTCTTTTTTTAAGTTAAAATTGAAACAAAAGTATTTTCAGATTTCCTTCCCAGTGAGAAGCTGAGAATATAGTTGTCTTCATTTTTAATATGTTCATTTGTTAGATCTAGTATAGATCTTATTTAATCTAATTATGAAAAGTTTAAATTTAGAATCTAATCAAAGTTCAGTAAAAGTCTAAATGTGGATTTAAAGTCATTATCAAAAAACTGAAGATATAACGTAGAAATGTTCTCCACTATGATAAATTCCTTTTTTCTTTAGGCAGTATATTTTGAACCTCCCTGATCACTACTTCCCCTCATATAATTTTTGAAACTACTTTCAACAATAATTTACATTCCCAGTTGTTTAACTGAACATGTTAAAAGAAGTTCCAGTGAATTTGGAGAATTATGTGGTGGCAACATGGGAGTGACTTAGTGTCTCAGACTTTAAAATTTAGGTAGTTTTAGGGGCATAAATGCAAAGTTAATTTTATCATCTTGTTTATACTTTTTTAATCAGAATTATTATCTTAGTGAAATTTTTTAATTCATGGGGAGAGATAGTTAAGGGAAAATACTTGTCAGAGAATCATGTCATTTCAAGAGAAGCTAGACTTTTCCATCACATAGCAGGTCCTAGGTAACCTATTGGACCACCTGAATAAATTGTTATTGATTCTACCTCATTCTTTCCCCTTCCCTTTCCTAGTTCTATAAATTGGTCAGTGTTAGATTCATGAGGATACTCGGTATAATAGAGTGGCAAGAACAGTGGGTTGAATCAAAGGACCTGGGTTTGAATCACAGTTCTACTTATCTCCTGTGTGACCTAGCACCAATGTAATTTACAAGAGTGTTGTGAAACTATAACCTAGGTTGGCCCCAAAGAAGTGTTATGAGAAGGTACCTTCCTTACTTCTTTACAGAAATGGTGGGAACTTTAGATATAGAACACTTTCTAATAGTGTCAGACTTTTTTGATATGTCAGCTAATTTTTCTGAACTATTTATTTTCCCATCTCTTTTTTCTTTGTTATAAGGAAAGGCAAAGGAGGAAAAGATACATCAGGAAATGCAGGTTATGTAAAAACAAAACATATCAATAAAAAAAATTTTTAATCTTTATATTCCCATTTTCAGTTTTCTTGTCTGTAAAATGAGTTGGATTAAGTGCAGGCCCATAATTCTGCATTTCTGTGTTTTCTGAGTTTGGTTTAAAAGTCAAACCTATGTTGTAAGTAATGCAATAATGCAGAGCTATTAGTTTTGGGGGTTTTTTTACTGTTGTGCATATACTATTTCACGTATGGCTGGATGAAGAAGGTGATATGATGGTACTTATAAGACAGCAGTATATATTTAAATTGTGTTTTGTAAGAATCATTATTTTTGATTTAAGACTTGATGAGTTGGAGTCTTTTAAGTTCATTTATTTTATAACTGCTGATAACCTTGTTGATTGATGTTAACCAAGTAATGTGTTTAGTTGCTGCTTTCATCTTAAGTATCTCTTGGGCATATTTGGCATTCAAAAATAGTAACATATGTTAATTAATTTTTTCCAGGGTGACCTAAAAGCATATTTGTGCAGTGAACAGGAGCGTATTAAAGGAGATTCACAAATAATGCTGCTACAGAGAATGGCCTGTGAGATTGCTGCTGGACTTGCCATAATGCACAAACATCATTTTGTACATAGGTAAGATCTTCTGATTTGAGGACTGGTTTTATACCACTTTGTTGCATTCTGGGGAACGTTTAACTTTCTACAAAGGTTATCTTACCAAAACACATGAGGTAGAGATGGCAAAGTAGAGAATTTCTTAATCTGTAAGTATGGTTTCAGGTAAAACTGTATCTCTCTTTCATTGTAGACTTCTCCTTGCTAGTATTTGACGTAATGGTAAAGGTAGAAATATACTCAAGCACCAGAACAAATGCTTGACATTTTTTAATTCTTTGACAGATGTCATTTCATCACTGTGGTTACTCTCTGTGTTGATAAAGTAGAAAACACTCTAAAGCTTCTCATTCTGAATAATTCATGTCCTGGAATTCCCATAAATCTTCCATAGAGGTTTAACTGAGTATGTTCTTTAATACATTGGCACATATAAGATATTGATTCAAGCTCTCTGTTTTCTCTCATTTTTGCCTAACTTGTTTCGGAACATATATGTCCTCAATAATCCATAACATATACCATCTGTGGCATACAAGTTTCTGTTGATAGCATGCTACACCCAGATTACACTCAGCCATGCATCTTTCCATTGACCTTTGGATTATTATCTTTTTAGTTCTTCTGAGGGTGTAATATTTTATAATATACAGCTAGATAGCATTACTGAGAGCGTAGTTTTGTAGCAGTGCATATTTTGAAATTGCCAAAAGTGCTACATAATTTCACAAATGCGATCCAGTCATATCACTGCTTCTTTCTCAGCTTATTATCAGTTAGCAGTACTTTACCAAGACACAGATTGACAGACCAATTGAGTCTCTTTTGTTTTTATCTTCATCTGAGTCACACCTTGTAACCATGGGTGTTTCCCCCAAGGCTTTGCTTTTCCCTCTGTACTTTTTCTTTTGGTGATCTCATCAGTTCCCTTGGATTCAGTTATAATCTCTATGCAAAGATTCTCAGATCCATTTATCTAGCTCTAACCTCTCTACTAACCTGCAGGCCCATGTCTCCAACTGCTTATTACACATCTCAAACTGGGTGTCCCATGAGCATCTTAATTTCATGATATCTAAAACTGAACTCATTAACTTTCCCCCACAATGCTCTTTTCTTCCCACTATCAAGGACATCATCCCCATTACCCAGACTTGGAACCTGAGTTCATCACTGTCAACTCCTCCCCCCCATTTCTAATTAGCTTTCAAGTCCTATAAGTGTGTGTGTGTGTGTGTGTAAAACATATATCTGTGTGTATGTGTATATGTAATACTTTTCATATATGCCCCCTTCTCTCCTTTGTACATAGTTGTTTTCGTATTGTTTCTCCATTAGACTGGTGAGCCCTTTAAGCAGATGGACTGTTTTTGGCCTTTCTTTGTATTCTCAGTGTTTACAACAGTGATTGGCACATGCTCAATAAATACCTTTTGATTTGACCAGTTCAGTAAGCTGCCCATCCCTTTACTGTCTCAATATGTGCAATTTAGAGTTCATAATTTGCATTACAAGTAGCTTAAAAGAAACTTACGATGTGCAAATTTAAACATCTCCACTTGCAAATGTTCTTGCAGACTACTTGTGCCTGACCTGTGGGAGAGCCTTCCAAGCTCACATTGGTCTGGTTAGCCACAGTCGGAGACACCATGCATAGTGATATCATCTTCAAATATGAAGGACAACAACCTGTAAGCTCCCAGAGCTGCTACTATCTTAACATAACATGTCATTTTTAGCCTTCATTGACCGAGAGTCTGGACTTAACACTCCCAGAATTTGAGTCTTCTCAGTGTATTATTAAAATGCCATCAGGTCGTTTTGAGAAGATTATATTAAATACACTATATTATTGTTTGCACATTAGCCACTTATATGTGTTCTGTAGTAGCCTATTAAATATCCAGATTTGTTTTACCTGGAAGAACTAAGCTCTTAGGGTTTTGTTCAATCCTGTCAATAGTATAATATTACCAGAATTGTTTTAATTGAAAATATTGAGGTTACTAAGTTATTCGGCTGTCATAAATTGTTAGGTGTCAGGTGTTATCCAGGTTTATAATTGCACACTTAATATTAAGGAGCATTTTCCTTAAAAGTTTTTCCTGGTATGTAACTAGAGGGATAGGTATCTTAACCAGAAAAGCATAGGAGTTATTTCATTCATGTTACCAGTTTATATATATATCTTATAAATGAAGTTGGGGATCACCTTGCTTTAGGAACATATGACAACACAGTCACATCCAATGTACAAAAATATATAAATAGTTCATTTTCTTAGATTGAGCATAGATGCTAAGGAAAAATTGATTTTTAAGGGATCAGCACTACAGATAAGACAATTTATTGTCTTTAACTAGTTTTTAAAAGTTAAAGGTATTTGCTCATTTGAAAATATACATATATAGAACATTTGCACACTATATTATCATATTGCCTAATGTATTTTGGTCCTAACCTTATACCTAGCTTTGAGTTTTCAAAGTAATGATAATAGCAACTAACATTTACATAGCACTTAGAAGATAAACAAAGTGCTTTGCATATGTGATTTCATTTGATCCTCACAACATTCTTGTGACAAAGGCACACTGTGTTACTCTTCCTTGTTACACAGATGAGGAAACTGAACCTCAAAGAGGTTAAATAACTTAATGACCCAGGATCACCAGCTGGGAAGCATCAGAGGTAGAATTCAAACCCAGGTCACTTCTGACTTAAGTCTTGCTCTCTTAACACTATACCACACTGCTTCAGCCAGATCTAAATAGAATATAGTGAGAAACAAGGCTATTTGCCTACTACTTCTACTTCTGTTCTTATAAGCTAGGTAAGTTCTAGCTCCCAAGCTTTTTTAAGTCTGTTACCCTAATGTAAGATAAATTCAACAAGTCTACTGTGACCCAAGATGTTCTGCCTTAGTCGAGGTTAAGTCTAGAAATCTCATTTTGTTCAAAGCTCCTCTCTTAGTCAACCCCCAAGCGTTAGTTAACTGAAAGTATTTCTTAATGACCTGGCAGATTCTCTGAATTCACCCCAGGCAGGTGAAACACTTTGGCAGTTCTCTTGGCCTAATATATTTCCTTCCACTTCTCTATATTTTCTCTGTGCATAATAGGTTGTGTCACATTTTGAGACAGTAAAATAAATGTGTATACTTGTCTGCTAAGAAATTGTTTGGAATTGGTGGCCTATACTAGCTCTCAGATTTAAGATTTAAAGAAATTTCTCAGAAAATGAAAGGCTTTTGCATCAGTTCACTGCCCTGTCTCATCCTCAGATACATAGCAGATGGCCTCATTCACTTCCTACTTTACTGAGAATATTGAAGCCATTAGCTCTCTTCCCATCGAAACCTCTACTCTTTCTCCCTTCTCTTGAATTCTTAGTCTGTACTCACTACCTACACTGTCACACTACTCACTCATTCTTTACTTACTTTCGGGTTTTTTTCTGTTTGTTTTTGGTGAGGCAGTCGAGGTTAAGTGACTTGCCCAGGGTCACACAGCGAGTAAGTGTCAAGTGTCTGAGGCCGGATTTGAACTCAGGTTCTCCTGACTCCAAAGCTGGAGCTTTATCCACTGCACCATCTAGCTGCCTTACTACTCATTCTTTAACACTTGCAACTGAGTTTACACCCCTCCCCCCCCCCCCCCCATCACCAATAATCTCCTAATGGCCAGATCCAGGTCTTTTTCTCAGTCTTTATCCTCCCTAATGTTTTTGCATCTTGTGGTATTATTGATCTTTCTGTTTGTTTTGCTTCCATCACACTGTCGGCTTCTGATTCTCTCCCTTCCTTATTGATCTTTCCTTGATGATTTTTCTTGACTCTCTCAGCAACAAAATGTAGATCTCTTCTGAGGCTTTTTTTTTCAGTCTTTTCTCTTTACACTCTCTTCCCTTGGTCATTTAATTCATCCCCACCTTCAACTACCACCTCAAAATCGTTGTCCCTAAAACTAAACTCATCATCTTTTTTCCTTAAACCTGCTCTTTTCCCTGAATTCCCTATATTTATCAACGGTATCACTATTCTCTCATTCACACAGGTACAAAACTTTATTCATCTGTGACTCCTTTTTCTCCTCAGTGTTCTACACCTTCAGTATTAAATTTTCCCTCTCTTTGCTGTTTGTTTCCATAGCAGCTTCAGCCCTTTGTTCTCTTGACTGTATTATTACAGTTGGTCTCCAGGCTTTTTGTTTTCTCTCCCTGTTCCCTCCATTATTCTTTATTTCAGCAAATATTCTTAAGTACCTATTTTGTATAAAGCATTTGCTGTGAGGATGAGATAGAGTTAAGACTGGATCCCCACCCTCCTGAAGTTTACAGTTTAATAGTGAGATTACTTGGTAATACAGGTCATTATGATATACAACCTTCCATGCCAAACTGAGCCTAACTTTTTTTGGATTAAAAATTATTTTATTTTTTAATTAAATTTTATTTTATTTTCCATTCCTAATTCTCCTCCTCCCTCCCACCCCTTCCTTACCAATTGAGGAGGTAAGAAAAATAAAATCTATTACCAGTATGTATAGTCTTGCAAATAAATGCCTGCTTTTGGTGAGGCAGAGAGAGAGAGAGAAAATATTCTTCGCTCTGCACTCTGAGTCCATCAGCTCTCTCTGGAGGTGAAGAGCATGTTTCATCATGAGTCGTTGTTTTGATCAAAATTGCTATGTTTTTCATAGTTGATTATCTTTACAATATTTTATTACATAAATTATTCCCTTGCTTCTTGAGCCTAATGTTGTTAACTAATCCTTCCAGAATTCCTAGGTTATAATATTCAAAGCTGGAAGGGACCTTAGGTATCATTTAATGCAATCATTTTTGTTGTACAGATGAGGAAATTGAGGCCTAGAGAAGTTGTGATTTCAGAGCCACAGGGGTGTTGTATTAGCTCTCAGTTCCTCTGACTGCCATTCTGTTTCCATTACTCCACTATACTCTTTTTAAGTACTTTAGAGGTGCAAAGCAAAGTTCTATGAAAGGAGTCATTACTGACCAAGGAAAACTTAAAGGATGGGAAGGAATTCAACAGATGAAAAGGAGGAAATAGTAGGGAACCATACCAACAGATAACATGGAAATGGAATAGTGATCTTGTTGAGTCTGTTGCATCTTTCCCCTATCTTAATGCTTTCACATCTACTTCAGGTTCTTATCACTTTTCACTTGTTCTGTTGTAGTAACTTAATTCATTTCCCTACAGTCTTTCTCCTCTTCAGTCCATTTTCCATATAGTTGTCAAAATAATCTTAGGCAGAAATCTAGCCGTAGAACTCCCCTGCTCAGTTTCAGCTTCGATTTTTCCCTATTGCCTCTGGGATTTGATATAGACTTCTCTATCTGGTATTTAAGGTCCTCTACCATCTGAGTCCATGTGAGTTCTCCAGCCTTATTTCACAGTTCTCCCCTTGATGTCGTTTTTTTGTTTGTTTGTGTGTTTGGGGGGGTTTTGGCCTGTTTGGCTGTTCTAGATATTCTGCACTCCATTTCCCACCTCTGCACATTTGTACAAGTAAATCCACTCCCACCTCCCATAACCAGGAATTTTACCCCTCCTCACATCTGCTTTTCAGAATACTTTTTCCTTCAAGGTTCCACTCAAGTGCAGCCTCTTCAATGAGTCTTTCCTGTTCTCTCCTTCTTCGAGTTAACTTATATTTACTTATATGTGTATTATGTCCTACTAGAATTTTTCATTGGAAGAAATTGTTTTGTTTTTGTAACCCCAGCATGTAGCACATGTCTTACACGTAGTAGCAGTTGAATAAGTGTTTGTTGATTTGAATTTTATTCACACAAAATAGACCATTTTAGCTGTATTTATAGTAAGTTTGAAGATAGTAATGAGAAATGGCTGGAAAGGTAGCACGGTGCCAAATTAGAGAGGGTCTCGAATGCCAGACAAAAGAGTTTGAACTTCACCTTCGAAGCAGCAAGGATGCCTCTGAAGGTTTTTTGAATAGGGAAGTGACACGACCAGATCTGTGAGGAAGAATGATCATTCTGGCACTGGTATGGAGAATATAATGGAGGAAGGATTGGAGTTCGGAACACTTGGTAGAAGGCTCTTAAAATAGGCCAGACAAATGGAAATCCATCTTATGTACTGCTCGCAAATTGCTCCATAATGTTATATTAACTCTCCATTGAATAATAAACCCCCATATGAATGAAGTCCTTTCTCCCTCACAAGCCTCCCTTACAAGGCCTTCCACGATCTTAGTAACTACCTACTTCTCAACTTCCATCCCATACTGTCCCCTCTGACATACTTTTATTTTATAGCCAAAGTTGACCACTTGCCATCTCTCAAATGCTTGCAGTGTTGTACGGTCACTCCTTTGTTCTTGGAAGCCTGGTGGTATGGAGGATAGAGCACTGGGCCTGGAGTCAGGAAGACCTGAATCAAATTCAGCCTCACAGCTTACTACCTGTGTGGCCCTGGGCAGTCCATCTAACCTCTGTTAGCCTCAATTCTTCAGCTGTAAAATTGGGATCATAATAGTACCTACTTTCCGGGGTTGTTGTGCAGATCAAATAAGACATTTATGAAGTGCATGGCAGATCTTAAAGTGCTATATAAATGCAAACTGTTATTATTGTTCAATATGCCTAGGATAACTCTTCTCTGCTTCTGCTTCTGTAGCTTCCCCTAAATCTCCCAGCTTAATTCTTCCTCCCTCATATTCTGTTCAAATTTATATTAATATTTATCTGTGTCCATTAGAATGGAAGCTCTTTGAGAATGTGGTGTTTCGTTCCTTGCATTTGTATCCCTAACTCCAGTCCCTGGGACATAGCAGGCATTTAATAAATACTTGTTGGTTCATTGAGCACCATTGCTAGATATTCCAAAAAATGCTTAGTAAGTGGCTATCCTATGTGCAATCAGAGACACAAATATAAATAAAATACTATTCACACCTCAAAGAGCTAAGAATCTAATGAATGAGGGATGAACAATGGAGTAAAATTTGATATGCCCATAGATAGTAGCACTTCATTGCATGAATTTTGGTATTTATTTGCTTCAGATGGCACATAATTCTAATCTAGGCAGAAAAGTAAAGAATGTTTGGCTTAAAGGCTCACAAATTGTTTATAACATACTCATTATGGATTTTTAATGTAGGAAAAGACAAAATGAAATGGAAAAACAAGCTTAGAAAGCCATCCTGCTAGGGTTAAAGTTTTCTATTGGTTCAGAAAAGAACAGTATCTCCATCTCAGTGGCTCACCCACCAGTACCCTTTGTCTCTTGGGTTTTAGGACAAAAATATCCTGAAGGCGTAGGCTTAATCCAGCTTTTTTTTTAAAACTTGATACCTTCCACATTTATGGGCTGTAATTTTACGATTCTCTGTGTGTGTGTGTGTGTGTGTGTGTGTGTGTGTGTGTGTGTGTGTGTGTACAGATTTGTCATTACAGCTGTTTATTTCTAACATTTTCTTGATGATGTCAGTACATGGTAAAGCTTTAGCATCCCTCATTTTGTTGGGGGTGGTAGATTCAAACAACAGGAATGATACTACCTCACACTGCTCATTTTCTGGACTTACCTGAAATGATGAGCGTATTTTTCATTGTTGGGTTATAATGGTTTTCCCATTTTTGAAGACATCAACATCTAGAAATCACTACTACTGTTCTTTCTTAGTTAGGTTCTATAATTTCTTAAACTATATTCCAGTAAAGAGCTACAAGAAACTAGCAAGCTAGATTTTTTTTTTCTGAACTAAACATTCTAAGTAGAAGAATTGCAGCAAAATCAACAGATCATCCTAAGGGCTTTGTCTGATCGTGAGCAAGTCATTTAAACTCTCAGTATCCTAGCAACTCTCTTAAGTCTAAAGTACAGATGAGTTGCTAACATGCATTGGTAGAGAGAATTTTATTATTTTACTAATAAAATCACAAGTCCAGACAAAACACAAAAACTAAATAGTGATAGGAATTTCTAGCAGGTCACATTTTATCCTTCTTCATATTCATTTAGCCCTAAAACAAGGTGTATTTCTGTCTAGTAAGTAGTTAATATAACAATGAGCCTCAAATAAGCTTTTCTTTTTTTTTCCTAACGTAATAATCTACTTAATACTATAAATTATAGAGATTAGGAGGAACAAGGATGAGCTGAAAAGGTTTCTCCTTTATTATTCATCTTTAATTAATGAAAGCAATCCTTTTATTTTGATTTTTTTTTTCTACTATTAAAAATGAAGGAGGTAAGTCCCTAAATCTAGTTTGCTACCTCCTGGATTTCCTGACCATTCAAGCCCAAGCAACAATCTTACCTTCTACAAGAAGCCTTTTTTAATGCTCCTTAATACTAGTGCCTTCCCTTTATTGATTATCTCCAAGTTATCCTGTATATTTCTTGTTTGTCCATAGTTGTTTGAGTGTTATCTCCCCCATTACATTGTGAGATCCTTGAGAACAGGGACTAGGCCGACTTTTGTCTTTCTTTGTATCTCTGGCAAATAGGAGACTCTTAATAAAAATTCTTGCTGACAAACTAATATGGTATAACAGTGAATCAGATGTACTGATTTACAAAAGAGCTCATTCACTTCTGCTGTCCAAATGAAACACATATATTAAAATTTCTTAGAGTAAATTCATGGAATGCTTTGAAAATCAATATTAGAACATAGCATAGGGTTTATCATTGCATTCACTCTAATGTTTAATCTAGGTTTTATTTCTCAGTCAGTAAACCATTAACCACCTCTATGTGCCAGGCACTGTGCTAAACCCAAAGGATACAGAGAAAAGCAAAAACCTTACTCTGCTCTCGAGGATGGGGGAGACAACATGTAAATAACTATGTATAAACAGGATATACATACAGGATAAAATGGAAATGATAAGCAGAAGTCACTAGCATTAAGATAACAATATCATGTTATCTTTTCGTACTGAGATTAATTTTTAAAAATTAATTTACTCTAATGCCTGATAATGAATTCAACCGCAGTTCAAACCTACATTAGCCAGGTTATTGATTTTTGTCACAGAATTGGCTTTCCCTTTTCTTATTTTTGTTTCATTCTTCTTTTTTGTTTTCCAGTGACTTAGCCCTGCGGAATTGTTTTCTCACATCTGATTTAAATGTAAAAATAGGAGACTATGAAATAGGACTTGGCAAATACAAAGTAAGTTAGAGGTGTTTTGATGTTGACTTTTCCTCCTAATTCAATTTCAAAGAATAATAACCTTTGTATTCATAAAATATCATTCTTTGTTCAGTGCAGCTTTGGTGTTGATGTAATTTTTTAAAAGAGGGAATTACTGTTCTAATTATTTTAATGGTAGTTTTGGCTTCTGAAGAGGGGAGGGGGAGGGGGAGAACAGGATAAAGTCTGAAGTCTTGTGTCTGGTGTTCCAGAATGTGATGTAGTTCTGCATAGGAAATTTAATATTTCCTTCCGGTGAATAAGAAATGTTAAATGAGCGAGTGGCCAATAAACCTTATTACTGTTATCCTATTTTTGGTTTATATAAGGGATTTTTAAAGTTGAAGATCACAGAAGTTAAAAAATGAATTGGAATATAAACTTCCCTGTAACAATTTATGTTGATTAATTACCAAAGAATAAATTCTAGAGAAATAGTTTTTTACAAATCTAAAGCTTCTTTTTAATATAGAAATTCATTTAAAAATAACGGCAACAAATTACTTAACTTAAATGTACAAGAAAGATAGCCTAGTGCAGTGGAAAGAGCTCTGGCCTTAGAGTCCAAGAACCTGGGTTTGAATGCTGGTCTTGCTACTTAACTCCCTGTGTGACTTTGGGCAAGTGACTTAACTTTATGAACCTCAGTTTCCTTGCTATTAAATGGGAGGGCTAAGTTATTTCTAAGATCCCTTCCAGTTGTAAATCTATGAAACTGTGATCTTAGTAGCATCTGCTATGCAATACTGTACATATAAAACTTCTTCATATAGCCAGTAAAATTACAGTTTAAATTCCATTCCCTTCTGGATGTAATTATTAGTCTAGATTTAACTGTCAGAACATAACCCTGAAGATGGTTTTTCTATTTTGTTTATTTACATATAGATCACCTGTATAAAATAATGTATTTATAACACTGTAAAATACCCATAAGTTCCGGTATTTATATCCAAATATTCTTTTGTTCTATGACTGTGGGTGATTATACACCAGATATCGTGTGCCTTTATTTTCTAGGAATTAAAGGTCGTTCAGGACATTCAGTAGTTCACTATTCAACTTATAGAACTTTGTAGAGAATTTCACAGAAGCTCGTTACTTACCCTTCATCTAGAATAGTTCTTTTGTGACAGCAAAAGCAGAAAAATATATCCCTTTACCCCACCCTACGCCACCCCTTTTTTATACAGGTGTTTTTAGTTCATGTTAAGCATCTCTTAGAAATAAGTTATGATGCCTATTAAAAGTCTAATTCTGTTTTCCCATATTCTGTGTTTTACTTAACACCATAGGCGGATTATATTGAAACAGATGATGATAAAATTATTCCCCTTCGGTGGACTGCACCAGAATTGGTAACAAGCTTCCAAGAGAGATTACTAACTGCAGATCAAACAAAGTTTAGTAATATCTGGTATGTAACTGATTTTAGTTGTCATCTTGTATATCTTTATTTGGCAAAAATTAGATTGTGACTGTTTTTAAGAAGCAGAGTGGGTTCTATGCTTGGGCTAAAAATATCAACTACATTAGGACAAGATGGAAGAGGACGACAGTATATGAAAAAGACATGAAGATTTTAGTAGATTGCAAATTCAGTTGAAGAACTAGGCTACTCAGCTGGAAGCATGGTGTCCATAAGAAGGGAGGTATTATTCCCACCATACTTACGTACTGTGTCTAAGCTGCAATGTTCATACAGAAGAGTGACCAGGATGAAGAAGGGTCTGGAAAATGTGTTGAAGGAACTGTAGCTCTTTAGCTTGGTATAAATAAGTCTTAACGGGAATACAAGGTGTGGAAGAGCAGTCACGAAGGATAAGATTTCCTCTGCTTTACCCTAGAGACCAGAATTAGGAGCAGTGTGCAGAAATTGTAGAGAAGTATTTTTTAGTTCAATATGAGGGAAAACTTCCTAATCATGAGAAATGTTTACAGTGCAAAGGGTTTCCTTTAAAGAGTGAGGTTCCTCAACACTAGAGATTTTCAAGGGGTGGCAAGCTGTCAGAGATGTTATAGAACAGATATATGCACAGATTGCTGTTCAAGTTTGGGTTAGATAAGATGGCCTCTGCAGTGTCTTCCAACTCAAAATAAAATTCAGTCCACTGTAAACATCCTGATTCCTTCATCCAGCATGTTAGCTTTTCCTTTCATATGATCTGAAATTTTGATAAGCATTCCATCTTTGGCTTCAGTTGTTGATTTTAAAAAAAAAAGTATTGAACAAAAAAGGGCTCAGTACTTAATGGAATTAATTTGTAGCTGGTTTTTTTCTAATTGATATACTTTCTAACTAAGGGTAAAATAATAAACAGTTGAAATACTGGATATGTTCAAAAGAGTGACATAGTAGATAGAGCACGGGACTTGGAGTCAGAAAGACCAGTTGTAATTCTTCTCAGACACTGTGTGACCCTGAGCAAGTCACTTAACCTCTCAATCTCAGTAATAGCACCTCCCTCAGAATTCTTGTGAGGATCAAGAGATAATTAAAATAGGTAAAGTGCTTTGCAAACCTTGAAGTGCTATATAAATGTTAGTTACTGTTATTGTTGTTGAAAATAAGTCATCATAAACAGATTGAGTTTATAAAATCTTCCCAGTAACAAATGTAATGTCTTCCATTTGGACAGTGCTTAGTAACAGTTTCCTGAACTCTCATTCAGTTTTCAGATCTCAGAAGTTAATGGAAAAATAGCATTTTTATTAATGCTGTGGTTACGTTGTTTAGCGATGAGAGTCGGTAGATATCAGTGTATCATATAAAGATACAACACTGCGTTGACAGTAGCAGAAAAGAGACAAAAGGTAGAAAGAATCAAAGATCTCTAAGGCTATCCACAAAAATTAATTCAGTTGTTGATATTCTCATCATAAAATCTTTGTCCAGGAATCAGTGAGATGAAACACCACTGAAGGAACTGATCACTAACATTCTTAGTATAAATGAAAGGAGGAAGGAAGTTGAAGATAGATAAAAGGACGACTAGCAGGCTTTCTCTTTGAAGGGATAAATAAGGGAGAGTTGATGTTATTATGTTCCAAAAGGCAACAATAAACATAATTTCATGGAACTTCATCTCACTTTGTAAGCCTTTCAGTGAGCATAAGCAAATACACTGACATGAAGTCAGTTAAAGCTTATGCTATAATTATACATCTTATGCTGAAGATGAAAAAACAGAAATCTATGAAGAACTTGACAATATATCCCAAAATTAGTTACCATATACATTCATACTTAATGACGTCAAAACAGGTAGATACAGAATAAAACTGCAAAATCTATGTTGGAAATGAAGGCTTGGCTTCAAAAAAACAACAACAACAAAGCAGAAAAGGATTTGTAAACTTCTTAGAAGTCTCCTAGCTTACAAATATTCATAGATAACTTTTGCAGTAAGAGATAAAAAAGTTGCTGCACCTGCAAGCCAAATAGCTTTCATAAAAAGGACAATTGACTACATCTGAACAGGAAATGATTGGTTACTGACAGTTGTTTGAGAATCCATTTTCTTTGTGCTGTCAGATTATTGACTGGTTAGAGCAAAATCAAATTAAATACAAAATTAAAAGATAAAGGTAAGAAGAGCACACCATATCTGAACATACATCACAACTTGGGGACATGGATATTAAGTAAAATTAAGTAAAATTAAATAAATAAATAAAGATATTAATTGTTATTACTATTTCTTAGAGAAATGTAATTGATGCAAAACAGTTGCTGTGAAGAGGAGACTAAAAGATAACCCAGAAAAGGCAAAGGCCTTAGCCTGTATTCGTCATCTTGGACAATTGAAAGATAGAATAACCAAGAGCCACAATAAGGGAGTTTGTAATTTTCATCATCATCATCCTTGCAGTATTTTCCAAATGAGCTTCAAAATTTGAATTTGTGATATTCTTGGTGAAAAGCATTTGAGGAGGAAAGGAAACTGTAGAGTTCAGCATGAGATCCAACCAAACCAGCTTATCCCAAGAACATTTGTAGATGAAACCAAAAGAACAACAAACTGATTTGAAATGGAACAGATCTGCCAGTGTTTATAGTCATCTATTCTCATCAGCCTCAATAGCAAAACCACTATATTTATACTGACCCACTTCTGTACCAGATGTACCATAAATAGATACTTAAGTATCACTTAAGTCAGGAAGAACAGATCTGACCAAATACTTCTAGAAGAAACCTGTGGTACAGCCAGCAAAAATTTAAAGGCTTTTTGGGTTGATTTTCATAATACCTCAAAAAATGAAATTTTTTTAATGAAAAAGAGATTAGTTGTGATTTTTTCACCTCCTCTCAAAAAAAAAAGATAACCAAAAAAGATTGCAATTATAGACTCCTGGGCCTGCTTTCTTATTTCTATAAAATCTATAATCTATAAAATCCTTGAAAACCATTAGAGATAGATAGACACGTATATATATATGTAAATCAAAATTATCCTTTATGAAACTTGGTAATAACAGGAATTATTTTGCAGACTTTTTATGACAGACCATATCTGCAGAGTCACTAAGAGGGGAAAAAATACAAGATTCTGCTGTGTGGTAGTTTTTTATTTTAAAAAGAATTTGACTTGGAAAAAAACTGTCCTCAGATAAGTCTCTTAAATATACATTTTAACTTTATGTAACCCTATCACAGATGTGGCTGTGGAATTAACAGTCATCTGAGTATTGATAGCAAGAGAGATATGGAACATTAAGATAAATGTTCATTTAAGGGGTTCACCCAGTGTGATAAAAGATGTTCTCATTATTTAAACAGAAGGATTCCTATTCATGTTCTTGTTCAGAGAGGCATTATGCTAATTGCATTGAGCCTCATAACATTACGAATACATAGTTATACTAGACAGATTGGTCTAACCTTCCACACTGAAAAAAAACCAAAGTGGATGAAAAATGAGTATTTCCCACACTTATGCAGGTTAGAAAGGCAAACTATGATGGTAACTCACTGGTTCAGAGTGTCTTTCACAGGTTCTACATATGAACAGCAAGCTGGACTAAGAATTCAACTGAAGGCAGACTTTGGACTGTGTCACATTTGAGAAAGGGAGCAGTCCTTTCAAATAATCCCAAATACCTTCTGCCACAAAAGCTTCTCTCTGTCTCTCTCTCTTTCACTCACTCTCTCAAGAGCTTCATTCTCTTAGTAATGCTTAGATGGCAGAGAATCATGGAAAAGACAGAATTACTTATAGCACAGGATTTAGGACTAGAAGGAACCTTAGAGGTCTTTCAGTCCAACCCCCTAGTTTTATAGATGTGGAAACTGAAGTCCCAGGAGGTCGTGATTTCCCCAAAGTTGCACAAATTTGAACTCAGATTCTCTGACTTCAGAGCCAGTACTCTTTCCCATTATTCAACAGATCCTCTATAATAATAGTAACATTATTATTAATAAGCATTTATAAAGTACTTTAAGGTTGCAAAGCACTTTACTTGTTTGATCATGACAATCCTGTGAGGTGGGTGCTATTATCTCCATTTTACAGATGAGGAAACTGAGAAGCAGAGAGACTAGGTGGCTTGCCCCAGGTCATATTGCTAGAGAGCGTCTGAGACAAGATTTGAACTCAGCTCTTACACCTTTGGAGTCTGGCTTCTGACCGTCCACTACTGAAACTGCTCTTTCAAAGGTTTCAGTTGATTTCTTAAGGGAGGTGGCTTCTTTTCAGCCATTCTCCTTGATCCCTCTGCATTTTTTTTTTACTGGTAGCCTTATCTCCTCCTCCTCCCCCTAGATAATCTCTGTCTTCCCTTCGCTTCAGTCATATTACTGTCTCTTGGTTTTCTTCCTGTCTGACCACCCCCTCAGTTTCAGCTGGTTCATGGTCCCTCCCCAGCCTCCCAAGCATGTATTTCATGAGGGTCTGCCCTCAGCCTGTTTTTCTGTCCACACTCTTTTGGTGACCTCATCTATTTCCACAGGTTCAGTGATTTATTTAGATGACTTCACAATTTATATATCCAGTTTTTATCTCTCTCCTGACCTCTATACCCACATCACCAGTTAATTACCTACTAGACATCTCCCTTTGGATGTTCCATTGAATCCCAAGCTCGGTATGTCCAAAATAGATCTTCTCAATTGCCTTACCCCAAACATACTTCTCTTCTAATCTACCTGGTTTCTGTTGAGAGCATTACCATCCTCCCCCTTGCCTAGGTTAACAATCAGCTATCATCCCTGACTCTTCCATCTCCCTCTCCTTCCATATCCAATAAGTTTCCAAATCCTGTTTACCACCCCAGTATCTCCCTCCATATCTTTTTCCACCATCCTTGTTCAAGCCTCATACCTGTAATAATTAATTGTAGTAATGTCGTAATAGGTCTCTCTGCATCCAGTCTGCTTCTTGTTGATCTGTCTTTCACACTCAGCTGCCAAAATAATCTTCCTAAAGTGCAAGTCTGAACATGTCATTTCCCTGTTGCAAAAATCTTCAGTTATTCCCTACTATTTCTAGGATAAAATAAAAATGCCTCAACCTGGCATTTTAAGTCTTTTACAAAGTGGTTGCAACCTCTATTTCAGATCGGGAAGTCTGTCTCTGTCAGAGGTGGCAAACTTATGGAAGTTGATGAGGTGACCAAGTAAGAGACTGTAAAAAGAAAAGGGCCCAGGACAGAGTTTCAGGGTACAACCCAAAAGTTATAGTGGCCATAACATGTATGAATACAGCAAAGGAGAATGAGGAGGGGCATTCAGATAGGATGAGAAATAGGAAAGAGGCCCTAAGGGGTGGTCAGCAGTGTTGAATTTTAAAAGGTCAAAGAGGATGAGGATGAGAAAAGTCTGTTAGATTTGAGGATTAAGAAATCATAGGATCAGAGATTTAGAGTTGGAAAGACTTTAGAGGCCATCGAGTGCAGCCTGCAGATAAGAAAGTAAGTTACAGAGCTTGAATGACTTACCCAGAATCATATGCAACAATGTCTTTGAGGTATGTTTTGAACTCAGGTCTTCCTGATGCCAAGTCCAAGCCCTATCCACTGTATTATGCTGCCTCTTACCATACCTCTTTGTTAACTTTGGAGAGAGCAGTTTTAATTTAGTGATGAGGTCAGAAGCCAAACTGCAGAGAGTTTAGAAGAGAAGCAGAATTAAAGAAATGGAGGCAGCAAGTGTTCTGCTCAAAGGCTCTCTGTAAATAGACCCCATACTCTCTACCCATTATTTGTTTCCAATTCCCCCAAAAGATCCTTCAGACCTCTCCTTATAGTCCCTAGAAGATACCATTCCTCTCCATGTCTCTGTTTATATACTGAGTTTCTCCCCCATTCTGTTCTGGAATGTCCACCATTCTTCTCTGCCTTTATAAATCCTGCTTGTTCTAAGGTCTGTATCTATATCTATATCTATATCTATCTATGAATTCTCCCTTTACTACTTAAAACCACATTGATCCTTCTCACCACCCTCCTTCTTCAGCACCCATGGTCTAAAATGTACTCATCTTAATACTTACAATGTATGACCATTTACTCTTCTGCCTAATGGGATTTCAAACACCTTGCAATCAGGGACTATCATATATTTATTTTTCAATCTGTCTTCCCCACCTTCTCCTTATAAACACCTAGTGGCACAGTGTGAAACACATAGTAGTCAGTCAGCCAGTCAATAAATAATAATTATGCTATATGCTGTATGCCAGGCACTTTGCTAGGTGCTAGGGATATAAAGAAAGACAGAAAGCAGTCTCTCCTCTCAAGGAGCTCGCAGGCTAATGGTGAAACAACATGCAGATAGCTTGTGTACAAGCAAACACGTACAGAATAAATGGAAATAATTAATAGAGGGAAGGCATTAGAATTAATTGGGATCAGGAAAGGTTTCCTATAGAAGGTGGGGTTTTAACTGGGACATGAAGGAAGGCAGGCAAAACAAGAGGCAGAAATGAAGAAGCAAAGCATTCCGACCATAGGGAATAGCTAATGAAAATGCCCAGAGTCAGGAGATAGAATGTCATGTACTTGGAAGAGCAAGGAAGCCAGAGTCACTGGATCACAGAGTATGTGGGGAGGGTAAATATAAGAAGATTGGAAACATTGAGAGGGAAAGGACAGGTTTTGAAGGGCGTTGAATGCCAAACAGAGGATTTTATATCTGATCCTGAAGGGACCATTGTTATTGGAGGTTGGGAAGAGAGTTACATGGTGAGACCTGCACTTTAGGAAGATCATTTTGCAACTGAATGGAGGTTGAACTGGAGTCTTGTGGCAGGGAGACTAACCAGCAAGCTAGGTGTGAAATGATAAGGGCATGCACCAGAGTAATAGCAGTGTCAGAGGAGAGAAGGGGACATATATGAGAAATATTATAGAAGAAACTTAAGTAGTTAGGGGAGTGGTAAATAAATCGCTGGGCCTCTCGTAAGAAGACCTGATTCAAATGAGGCCACAAACACTATTTACTAGCTTATAACCCTGGGCAAACCATTTAATCTCCATTTGCCTCAGTTTCCTTAGGATCAAATGATAACATTTGTAAAGTACTTATCACAATGCCTGGTATATAGTAAGCATTATATAAATGTTAACTGCTATTATTGTTATTATTTAAAACTCAATAAGCTTTGGAAACAGATTAGAAATAGGGAAGGAGGGGAGAGTGAGGAGTCAAGAATGACACGTAGGTTGTGAGCCTGGGTAACTGGAAGGGTGATTGTACCTTGACAGTAATAGGAAAGTTTGGGAAAAGGAAGTTAGATGACGAATTCAGTTGTGGACATCCCGAGTTTAAGAAATGTCTGATAGGCAAATGGCGATGGAGTTTGGAAGTCTGGAGAGATGAGGTTGTTGTTGAGTAGTTCAGCCCTCTTCTTTTTGTTACTTAGCTGTTTCAGTCAGGTTTTCTTAGCAGAGATACAGGAGTGGTTTGCCATTTCCTTCTCATTTTACAGATGAGGAACTGAGGCAACCATGCTTAAGTGACTTGCCCAGGGTCACACAGCTAGTAAGTATCTGGGGTTACATTCAAACTCAGGAAGATGAGTCTTCTGACTCCAAGCCCAGTGCTGTATCTGTTGTGCCACCTAGCTGCCAGGAAAGATGTTAGAACTGGAGAAGTAGATTTGAGAATCACTAACATAGAGATGATCATTGAATAATCCATGGGAGCTGATTAGATTATGAAGTGATTTCATTCAATAAATGCTAGTTGATATGAATTGTGCTTTTACCTCTATGCATTATACACTGTTAGGTATAGTTTTTAGCAAATGTTATACGATCTTTTCTCAAGGTATAGTTTTTAGCAAATGTTATACGATCTTTTCTCAGCCATAAGAAGCAAACTTGTATTGAAATGTAAATGTATGTAGACTTGGTTCTCTCAAGTGCCCGTTTATTTCTGTGGCCAGTGATTTTAACCTGTGGCTGCTTAGAGTACCATGTTTTGACTAATATGGATATATATTTTACGTGATTGCACAAAAATAATCTATGTGAAATTGCTTACTGTCTTAGGGAGGGGAGGGGAGGAGAAAATTTAGAACTTAGAATTTTATAAAAAAAATGAATGTTAAAAATTGTTTTTACATGTAATTGGAAAAAACAAAATACTATCTGGAGGGAGGGGGCTGGAGGCTGGGGGCAAGGGAGCAAAGTACCATGTTAATGAGACTTAAGTATCCTAGTCTGTTACAAGCTGCTTTGAGACTTAGGAGGCTTTCCAAAAAGTCAGAATGGACGGAGATACTGAAAGCTACAGGCCTTTATTTGGCACATGTTAACTCATACAAGGTAAAGTCGAAGGGAGAATCCAGAAGGGGGAGCACCACAAGAGGAAGCAGAGGCAGCAAAGGAAGGAAGGATACAGCATTAGTAGTCACTGTATTTTGGGTCTTCTCTTCTTTAAGCCATGGCAGCAGGAGGAAGGGCTTCAGTGGTAGTCTTTTGGAGAAGCTGCTCCTTGGCCTTGTCCATTCAGCTCTAACTCTCCTGTCTCTACCCTAACTGATATGGGAAATGATAGCCTCCTTTACAGAGCAGCAGACCTACACTGCTATACAAGAACAACCTGTCTGCTAGGGCAGCTCAAAACAAAACAAGTAAATAGGGTTTTATAGGGTGTGATAGAGACTCAGGCTAGCAAATCTGATTTGTTTCCTGCCTCTGATGTCACAGGCAGGAAGACACCAGGGATTGGCTAGTGAACATGGAACATTGAAGTTTACAGCTTAGAACATTCCAGCATGGAAAATTCCAGAAAAGGGAAGACATATGGGGGGGCAGGACAGCATATTGAGAGCCGGCTGCATACAAGTTTTATGGATCTCAAAAAGGCTTCTAAAACAAAAAATTACCACCCTGAGGTCTTGAGTTTTTTCTTTGTATGGGCCCTATGGCCTTTGTTTTGTTCCATGCTACAGACTATACCTTTAAGTATGACCATTCAGTCATTTTATAAATGTGTCCTGTTGTTCACAAGGAGGAATAGGGAAGGAAGTATAAATGGATCAGTGCAAATATGTCCTTGCTACTGGAAAAACACCTCAAAGAGCATGAATCAGTAGTGTCATCTTCATATATCAAAGCACATATTAACAATGAGGAGGAAATGTGCTAAACTCACACTTTTGTTCATGGTATTATTATTGTGATGCTAGGTCCAGGATTGTCATGGGTTCTTATTCTTTGTTTATGATTTAGTATAAACCATCAAGAAATCTTGCAGTGCTGGTTGGTATAGAGGGATTTTGATGTGTAACTTTAAAAAAAAAGTTTAAAATGGCAAAACGTTCAATACGTATTGTCCAATAAGTACCGAAATTTAGGTGAAAAAAAAGTTGTGGAAAAATCTAGTAATCCTTTCATTTTTTTCCCTTGTCTAGGTCACTGGGTGTAACACTTTGGGAACTCTTTGACCATGGTACTCAGCCTTATGCACACCTTTCTGATGTCGAAGTTCTCCAGCTGGTCATAAAAGAGAGGGACACAAAGCTCCCTAAACCACAACTGGAGCAGCCCTATTCAGAAAGATGGTAACCTTTGGTTTCACTTTGTTGTCTTTCATATAATTAGATGTTCTGAACATGGTCCCATTATGTTCGTTTTGGGGGAATTATAGTTGTGAAAAGCCACTGTTTTGTGTATGGTTGTTTTTAATTGTTTTTAGACATCACTGTCCATTTAAAAAGCTTAGCTAACATTCTGCTTGCTGTTTTTAACTGATCTTTTTTCTTCTTTGAAGCAAGATATGTTTTTTCTTGAGGTAGTAAATTGTGTTGAATTTTTAGGCAGTATTGGGTTGTTGATGCTGTAGGGGGCTTGAATCTGGAATAATTAGAAATAAAAACAAAGGAAATAATCTGTTTTTCATTACCTTTTGTCTTTTTTGGATAAAAATAAAAGCCATTAAGAGCAGTGTTAAAATTATAATAGTTATTTATGTAGTATTTTATGGGTTTCGAAATTATTTTCTGTGTAACCTTGTGAAGTAAATGTTTATTGATTGATTGAAAGAATTATTCCCACTTTACAGATTAGAAGATGAAGCTCAAAGAGCTTAATTGACTTGCTGAGCTAGCTAAGGGGCCCTGGAGTTAAGATTCAAACTTAGGTTTCTTAAAACAGATTTTTTGCATATAAAAAAATGGAGATAAACTGATTTGCATCAGTTACATTATAAAGGGTTTATACAAAAGAATGTTTCTTTTTCATGAGATTATTTTATCCTGTGCTTTGTAACACTAATAATGTTATATTTGAGCCCCACAGTTTTCCTTGCCTTTAATCTTTGATTAAAGTTTACCATATAATCTTGAGCTATAACTTAAGATACTGACTTTGGTCAGTTAAAACCTGCAAAGATTTAGCTGATGGTTACCTTTTACCTTGGACTTTTTGTTCCCCCATTTTTCTCCTCTTTTTTCTTCTCCCAAGTTATGTTGTATGCTTTATGCAGAAAGAATAATACATGGCAAGAAATTATATCATTGCTAATTCTTTACTGGAAAGAGAACTAGTAAAGGACACTTTTCTGTGCTAAATTCACTTAAATCGAAATGAATCCACTTAAAACATAAAAGAATGTTTCCCAAATAGAATGTCAAGTTTTTGGAGTAGAAAACTACAATTAAATCTAAATTTAATTTAACTTAATGGATTTGGGATTGGGTAGTTCCCATAAAAAACTAATGATCAGGCAAAAGAATTGAAAGCAGACTTAAAGAAATGTCATTCTGCCAAAAACTCAGGCTAGATTTTTATGTCTGTTCTTTCCTCTCAATATCTTGATTGAATTGAATCTCAAAAATTAAAGAATAAAAATTGTCCAGGGAGGTGTGAAGGTCTTGTATTGAGGTGGGAATTTGCAAAGATTTAGCTTTGTTATTTTGTTATTTTATTATTTTATCTGTAAATACAGTAATTGCCTCTTATCTTTCAGGTATGAAGTTTTGCAGTTCTGCTGGCTACCACCAGACAAGAGGCCAACAGCAGAAGAAGTACATAGACTACTAACTTATCTTCGTATGCAAAGCCAAAGGGACTCAGAAATTGACTTTGAGCAGCAATGGAATGCTCTTAAACCAAATACCAATAACAGAGAGAGTTCAAATAATGCTGCATTCCCAATACTTGACCATTTTACCAGGGATAGACTTGGTCGTGAAATGGAAGAAGTCCTCACAGTAACTGAAACAAGTCAGGGGCTTAGTTTTGAGTATGTCTGGGAGGCAGCTAAACACGATCATTTTGATGAGCGCAGTCAGGTCAATCCTGATGAGGCCATGTCATATACAAGCATCTTTTTTCCAGTCGATGTTTTTGAAAGTTCACTCTCAGAGCCTGGACAAGGAAAGCAAGATGAAAGTGGCCAAGATGTGTCACTCAGGGCACCGGGGGTAGTCCCTGTTTTTGATGCCCACAATCTTTCTGTTGGGAGTGATTATTACATCCAGTTAGAAGAAAAAAGTGGTGGCAACTTGGATCTTGATAACCAATCAACAATTCTCACTACTGAAGTGGATAATCCTGACACTCTAAGTTCCCAATTCATGGCACTCAGGGATCTTGATAATGGGGAATCAAATACTGATGGAGATTTTTTTCACTACACTGGAGATCCTAAAGATATTGGTATACCTGAAGATTCACATGTTGCCAGTGTCCCTGAAAGCCCTTTCAGTAATATATTTAATGAGCTTGATAAATCAGAGGATTTGCACAGTCATCAAAAAATATTTGATTTAACAGAACTAAATGGGATTCATGCTGAATTTAAACCAGCTACTCTCAGCCCAAGCTTGGATGTGCCTAAAGAGACATTAGTAACTAGCCATCTTGAAAAAAAGACAGGCCACAATATTTTTGATCATGATGCCGTTTTCTTATCTGAAAGTCTTGTACATCAGAATGATTTTGACCCACTGAATATTCAAGAACTGTCAGAAAACTTCTTGTTTCTTCAAGAGAAAAACTTAATGAAAGACACGTTGTCTATGAAAGAGCATGCAAGTGATCTCCAAACAGAATTAGAAAAAGCAGGTTTTACAGGGAATATGTTAGAATCTTCACATAGAAATTCTTTAGACATTGAGCTTAACTTCATTGAAAATAAATCAGCCTTGTCTTTGTTGCAAGACAATGCAAAACCTGAAAGTAAAGAAGAGTGCATAATGCCTTTAGGAGATAATTTGAATGTCTCTTTGCAGTCTTCTCCAGAATTGCAAAAAACATTTAGCTTGACCAAAACAGAAGAAAAGGCTTGTGGTATACATCCAGATTCTGTTCTCTTTCAAGAAGAAGCTGAAGCCACATGTTTAAATGTTGTTGCCTGTGATGATAGCCCCAAGCAAGAGATAAATCCAAGCATTAAAACTGCCTTGGTTGAAGTGCTATCCAGTGATACGGTATCAGAGAACATTGAAAGTGGAACACATGACATTTCCCCCAAAAGCAAAAAATCCACAAATATTACCAAAAGTGAACCACTTCATTTTGATGAAGAAACTGCCTGTAGTATAAGTATGGAGATGTGTCTTCCAGAAGAAATGAACCAGGACTTGGAAAACAAGTCCCCTTTAGGAGACCATAATGCTAGAAGCTTGCTAGAGAAAGAAAATGAAACTCTAGGGATTTCAAATCAGCTTACTTATAAAGAAACACCAAAAGAAGTAGGCTTGATATCTGCCCTTTCTTCTGATTCTGCAAGCCAAGACAGTCTCTTGGAAGACAGCCTCTTAACCCCCATGCAGACATCTGAGCAATCTGTAGAAACACCAGATTCTTTGGATTCATTAGATGTCCATGGGGTTTTAGATGCTTTAGGTACCCAGAGTCCTCAGAAACTTGTGCCACCTGATAAACCTGCTGACAGTGGTTATGAAACAGAGAATCTGGAATCCCCAGAATGGACTTCCCATCCTGCTGTTGATGATGCTTCAAATACAGGTACCACATTAATTGATGATGGCACTCTTACCACTTTGCCTCCCAATCCAGTTATCATAATTTCAGATGAAGCAGACAGCAACAAAGATTTTGACTTGACCTCAAAGACATTAGCATGCAGTACTCAAAACTCCTATCGAGACTCTGCCTATTTTTCTGATAATGATTCTGAGACTGATAAGAAAAACGAGGATGTCACAGGAACATCAGCAGCATTGGCCTTGTTTACAAAAGATCAGCCCCAAAGGGGTGTATCCAGAGCTGAACAGAGTTGTGATGCCAAGCATAATTGTTGTGAAGAGAGAGTTAACCAAAGCCTTCTATCTGGTTTGCAGAACACCAGTGAACCAGAATTACAAGACACATTGGAGCTGGAACAGACTGACATTCCTAGACAGGTTGACATGGCTGAATTGGAAGCTGAAAATTCTTTAACTCTTATCGCAAGTTCAGAGTGTAGCTATAGCGAAGAATTTGACATTCTAGATGATCATTGCTGCAATCGCACTTCTACTGGCACCAATACTGATGAATTACTTGCCTACACAAATGCTACATTTTGTTCTGGAAACCCTTCAGCAATGGCAGGGGCCACCTTTTCAACAGACTTGATGGGAGATAAGTCCTTATCCTGCTATTCTGAGGGGCCCAAGTTGAAGGAGCCAGATATTGAAGGAAAATACCTGGGGAAACTTGATGTTTCAGGAATGATTGATATATCAGAGGATGGAATAGATGCAGATGAAGAGGATGAAAATAGTGATGATTCTGATGATGACCTGAGAGCTTTTCATCTTCACAGTCTCAGTTCTGAATCAGAAGATGAAACAGTACATCCAGTGCCAGTGATACTGAGTGATAATGATGATGGGAAGCACTTACGGAGTTTACTGAAACCACCTATGCCTATTGGAAATGACAAGCTACCTGATAATTGGAGAAAGGATAAGAAGGCAGTAACATTCTTTGATGATGTCACAGTCTATCTGTTTGATCAGGTATCCATAATCTTCTAAATTCTGACTGGAGAAATTTTTTTAATATTTAAAAATTAGTCATATCAGGGGTTCAAAATATAAAAATGAATCTACTTAGAAAATTCTTGGCATTTTGAAGCACTTATAGCTTTAGCATCATCATTCTATTACCATTGGGCAATTAATCTCATTGCTTTGTAGCATCATAATCTGGGCATGAAATCAGATTAAATTGAGGGACCACAGATCCAGGTTCTTTTTCTCAATTCACCAAATATCCTCACCACCAAAATGCCTCTGTTTCATATATTAAAAATTGCAAATAATATTTAATCCTTACTCAGCAGAACCATTGCACAGATGATTTAAACCTTTACATGTTTGTGACTCCCAGAGAGTAGCATAGATAATAAGCATAATACGGTAAGCTTTTATTGGCATACAAAGTGAAATATTCTCTGTGGTTAGCGTTCTCTGGATCTCTGCCTTCTGAATCAACTGAGTTACATTAGCAAAGATCATTCTACTCTGTTTGTGGTTAGGTGATTTCTATGAAGAGAAAATCATGTAAATTAAACCCAGACAACCAACAAAAATAATGAGGTTACAGCAGCTAATTTTTTCTAATTCCTAATTCATGCCCTTTGGAGAAAAGTAAAGTAAGGGTAGGGATTTGGGCCTAGCTGTTGGGGAAAGGGATTAGTATTTAGCACTGTAGTAACTACTGTGGTAGTGGCCATGAGAATGGCTTCCCAAAGGAAGAAGAGTATTGATCATAGATTTAGATGGAAGAGACTGGAGAAGTCATCAAGTCTCACTCTTTTTTTTATAAATGAGAAATTTGAGGTCAGGGAGATTGTGACTTCCCAAGACCACACAAATACTAAGTGGCAGAATCAGGATCTGAACTCTGAATCCAGCATTCTTTCCACTCTTCACTATCTATCTTAAGCTTTGTGATCATTTCTGCCTCTTGATAGCAATATTTCAGGGTTATACCCTGTTTAAGGGGGCCACTTCAATTCAATAAGCATTAATTAAGGCCTCCTGTGTGCAAAAGCATGTGTTAGACCCTGGCGATACAGAGACAAAACAAACAAAAAATGATCCCTAGCTTAAAGGAATTTACCTTCTACTGGGTGGATACATGTAGAAAGATAAATATGTATGTTATTTTTGAGGAAAGAAAGAGCATAAAGCATTTATTAAAAGCTTACTGTGTGCCAGGTGTTGTGCTATGCACTGGGAATGCAAATGCAAGTAAAAAGAAAGATCCTAATTGAGGAAGACAGCGCATAAAAGGGAGGGGCAGAGAAGCAATCCAGAGAGTCAGGATGAGCCAGGTTTGAAGTGAATATGGCTGTGTTGGGTACTTTCTCAAAAGGAGGTCTCAGGGGAAGAGTTCTCTAATTGGAGGAGGAAGCCATGAGGTGTAATGGTGTTGCCAGCATGAGTCAGCTGCTGGCTCAGAGGTGAAGTAGGCCAGGGAGTAATGGGCCGAGCCAATACAGTATAAAGACCAGGGGGAATCAGAAAATAATTCCCATCAGGGAGATAACTCATGAGCGTGAGCTGAGCTTTGAAGGAAGTCAAGAATGCCAGTAAATGGAGGTAAGGAGTGAATACATTCCCAGCATGGATGGCCGCCAGCCTATGCATAGGCCCAGAAACTGGAGATAGGATGTCGTTTCAGGGAACAGCAAGTAGACCAATTTGCCTGCAATGTGTAAAGGACAGTTGGGTGGCCCCGGGGATAGAGTGCCAGGCCTAGAGTCAAGAAGACTCATCTCCTTGAATTCAAATCTGGTCTTAGACACGTATTGGCTGTGTGACACTGAGCAACTTGCTTAACCCCATTTGCCTCAGTTTCCTCATCTGTAAAATGAGCTAGAGAAGGAAATGGCAAACCACTCAAGTATCTTTGCCAAGAAAATCCCAAATGGGGTCACAGAGAGTTGGACGTGCCTAACAGCAATGACATAATAGATGAAGGGGGAGGAGGAGTAAGATGCAATCAGTAAGCCTAGAAACATAGGCTGGAGCCAAATTGTGTAGGGCTTTACATGCCAAGGGGAGGAGTTTTTATATTTTATCCTGAAAACAATTATAAACCATTGAAGGGTCCTGAGTAAGGAAAATTACATTCTTTGGAAGGCAATTTTAATTACTATGCTTAATTTCACAAGTAACTTGACAGAGATATAGTGCTTCTATTTCTAAATAGTCTTCAGTTGAGGTCATCTCTGTGACTTTTGATTTAACTATTTATAAATAGGACTTGCCAGATGGAATAGAACTGCATCTACAGAATATGATGAAGCATTATCCTCCTTGAAATTCAGTCTCTATAAAATTGTTTGGCGTCTTTTGGCCATTTATAAACGAATAACATTTTCTTTCCTCTTCTACACAGTGTCTTCCTGCTTAGGGACAGGCTTCCTCATTGTCCACTGTAGCACAGGTGTCAGACTGGAGACTGAGCAAAACCCTGAACCAGATTAAAATGCAGCTGTTTAACGAAATAAAAATACAGTATAACATAGGTCATGTTGGTTTGTTGTTTTCTAAGTCAGTGTGGGACCCACAGGGATCAAGATGCCCTCGTGCTAGGGAAACAAAAGGATTCCTTGCTCTTTCTACTTTCCCTCTGCCTGTCCCACCTTTGTTGCACAGAAGCCTATTTTCTAAAGCTTCCTTTAAGCTTTTCATTAGGATTTGTCTGCTCTCAACCTGTGGTGCCTTTCAGTCGCAACAGTTCTCTTTCCCCTGTAGTATTGCATGTAGTTTAAAACCGAAGCAGCTCACATTTATGTTGGTTTATAATGGGCTTTCTCCACAACAACTCCTTGAGGTGTGGGTATTCCTAGAATTGTTCCTGTTTTACAATTGAAGAAATAGGCTCGAAGAGTTTAATTTTTGTTTTTATTAAAAAACCTTTTAAAATTTAAATACAAAATAAGAAAAGAAAAAGAAGCCTTGCCATGTACACAGAAGAAGAGAGGATTCAAAATATATAGCAATAAATTTCTATCTCAAGAAAACCTATATAATACATACTACACATTGTGTTCCAAGCTGCCCATCTTTTCTTTGCTTCCTCGTAAGTTTTCTTTTGTTTTCTACTGTTCTTTTTTCCTCTCTTCCTTCCCCCTAAGAAGGCTACAATTAGACATGTATATATACATATATATAAACATACACACCTACATGTATACATACATATGCACACACATACATATATTTGTGTGTGTGTCTATACACACACACACACATATACACACACATGCCCTTATATACTCATACATATACTTAGGTATCTCTAATCCTACTCATATATAGATACATACGTTCATATGCATCTGTGTAAGACCATACTATACTTGTTTCTCCTCTGTTTCTCTGAGGGTGGATAACGTCTTCCTTCATAGGTCCAAGTCTTTCCATATTTTTCTGAACCCACCAGCTCATTTCCTATACCACAGCAATATTCCAATCTTATACTGTTTGGTTATTTTAAATAAGTCTAAAACAATATTGATTAATATGGCTGACACATAGTGTAGTTTCCCTTTTTTTCTCTTTTGATTAAATCTGTTTTAGCTTTAATTTTCTCTGAGATCGTGTTTACAACCCCTGCTTTTTTTTTCCTTACTAAATTCTACTTCTGATCTTTATTTTATGTTTGTATGTATCTCCTATTTCTTATTCCTTCTGATTCTTCTACTTTACTTCTACCTGCTACTTTGCTCTCCTATTACTTAGCCTACTCCCCCACCAAAGATCCTTCCCTTATCTTCTCTCCCTACCCTGAAATCCCTCCCTTATCCTCTCCCCATCCCTATCCCTTTAGCCTTTTATTTTTTTCTGAATTTAGAAGACTTTTATGCTCTTCTAGATATATATGTCTTGTTCCCTCTTGAACCCATTCCCAGTGAGAGTAGGGTTCTAGAACTACCAGCCCTCCTACCCTATCTAATTTCTCTATGTCAGATCATTTGTATAACAGAATTATTCTCTTTATCTTTTCCTAGACAGTTTCCTTTTTAGTTTCAAATCATACTTAGCTCTACCCCAGTCTTTCTTTTGAACTACTACCCAATTACTAATAACAATCCTAGACAATTTACATTTCCTTATATAAAAAGTAAACAGTTCTTATTGAGTTCCTTGTAATTACTTTTTTATGTTTACCGTATAATACTCTTGGATCTCATATGTCAAATTTTCTATTGATTTCAGGTCTTTTTGCACCAGAATCCTGAAAGTCTGGCAGTTCATTAAATGTCCCTTTTTTTTTCCATTCAGGATTATGCTTAATTTTGTTGGGTGTGCTATTTTTGGCTACAACTTCAGTTCTTTTGCTTTTTGATATATAGTGTTCCAACACCTCCAGTCTTTTTGCATAGCTGCTGCTAGGTCTTATGTGATTCTGATTGTGGCTCCACCATATTTAAATTGTTTAAACTGTTTTGTTTTTTCCCTTGTTGCTCATGATATTTTCTCCTTGAGTAGGGGGTTTCAGAATCTGGCTATGGTATTCCTGTAGGTTTTCCCCATAGGATCTCTTTTAGGTGGTGATTGGTGGATTTTTTTCTATTTCTGCTTTCCTCTCTTGTTCTAATGCTTCAGAACAGTTTTCTTTAATTATTTCTTGTATTATTGTTATCAAGATTCATTTTTGGATTGTAGTATTCAGGTAGTCTGATTGTTCTTTATGTTTTCTTGATCTGTTCTCCCAATCACTTGTTTGTTTTTCTTATGAGATGTTTCATTTTCTCTTCTATTTTTTCATTCTTTATATCTTGTTTTGTTATTTCTTGGTCTCATAACTTTGCTAGCTTCTCCTTGCCCATTTCCGATTTTCAAGGAGCCATTTTCTTCCTTAAGATTCTAGATCCCCTTTTCTAGTTGGTTGACTTTATTTTCATAATCTTTTTGTTTTTCTTCCATTCTCTTTTTTTTTTTTAATTTTTCCTCACTCATTTGATTTTTAAAGTCTTTTTTAAGTTCTTCTATGAATTCTTTTGGGGCAGGTGACCATTTGACGTTACTCTTTGGGGTAGAAGAGGCTTTTTTCAAAAAAATGTTTAATTAATTTATTTTTAGTTTTCAACATTCACTTACATAAGCTTTTGAGTTTTAAATTTTCTCCACCTCCCTTCCTCGTCCCTCCCCAAGACGCATGCAATCTGATATAGGTTCTATATATACATTCTTAGTAAACGTATTTTCACATTAGTCATGTTGTGAAAGAAGAATCAGAACCAAAGGGGAAAAGACCAAGAGAAAAATAGTATGCTGTGATCTGCATTCAGACTCCATAGTTCTTTCTTTGAATCTGGATGGCATTTTCCATCATGAGTCTTTTGGAGTTGTCTTAGATCCTTGTATTGCTGAGAAGAGCTAAGTCTATCAAAGTCAGTCATCACACAATGTGGCTGTTACTGTGTACAATGTGTTTTCCTGGTTCTGCTCACTTCACTCAGCATCAGTTCATATAAGTCCTTCCAGGTTTTTCTGAAGTCTGCCTGTTCATCATTTATAGCAGAATAGTATTCCATTACATTATATACTACTACTTGTTCAGCCATTCGCCAGTTGATAGGCATCCCCTCAATTTCCAATTCTTGGCTACCATAAAAAGAGCTGCTATAAATATTTTTGTACATGTGGATCTTTTTCTCATTTTTATGATCTCTTTGGGATACAGCCTTAGAAGTGCTATTGCTGGGTCAAAGGGTATGCACATTTTTATAGCCCTTTGGGCATAGTTCCAAATTGCTCTCCAGAATGGCTGGATCAGTTCCCAACTCCACCAACAATGCATCAGTGTTCTAATTTTCCTACATCTTCTCCAGCATTTATAACTTTCCTGTTTTGTCATGTTAGACAATCTGATAAGTGTGTGATGTGGTTCCTAAGAGTTGTTTTGATTTGCATTTTTCTAATCAATAGTGATTTAGAGCATTTTTTCATATGATTATAGATAGCTTTACTTTCTTCATCCGAAAACTACCTATTCATATCTTTTGACCATTTATCAATTGGAGAATGACTTATATTCTTATAAATTTGACTTAGTTCTCTATATATTTTAGAAATGAGGCCCTTGTCAGAGACATTGGTTGTAAAAATTCTTTCCCAGTTTTCTGCTTCCCTCCTAATCTTGGTTGCATTGGCTTTATGCAAAAACTTTTCAATTTAATTAGTCAGAATTATCCATTTTGCATTTCATAATGTTCTCTATCTCTTATTTGGTCATAAATTCTTCTGTTCTCCATAAATCTGACAGGTAAGCTATTCCTTGCTCTTCCAGTTTGCTTATAGTATTTTGACTTTATTTTGGTATATGGTGTAAGATGTTGGTCTGTGCCCAGTTTCTACCATACTGTTTTCCAGTTTTCCCAGCAGTTTTTGTCAAATAGTTCTTATCCCAGAAGCTGGGATCTTTGGGTTTATCAAACAGTAAGAGAGGCTTTTTTTGCTTCAGTATCCTCCTCTGAAGAGGAACCCCAGTCTTCTCTATTCCCACAGTACCACAGTAACTTTCTATGGTTGGGTTCTTTCTTCTTACTTAGCCTGCTCATTTTTTTTTTTCATTTGTAGAAGCTTGTTATTGTAATCACCTCTAGCCCTGGGGTATGGGGCATGGGGCATGATGCCTCTGGTCTCAGATCCTCTTTCAGTTCTCCACTCTGACCTGAAATCAAATCAAGACTTCCACCCTCCTGTAAGTGTCCACAACCAGAGGCGTCCCAGGGATGCTGCACTGCTTTTGCAATCACCAGCGTGTGCTGGTTCCTTTTCCCCCCAGGTGCCCTGTCTTGGCTGCCCAGCTGGGCCTGACATCCCTTATCAGCAGAGGTTCCCTCAATAATTTTTCCCTGCTCAAACACCCATCTCCCCATACTGTCCAGGAAGTGAAAATCCTGTGACTGGGGCCGAGGCCATCTTCCAACCAGTTAGAGAACTAGCTTATAGGTGTTTACTTTTCACAAGGACCAGCCTTGGTTCTGGGATTTTTCTTTGGATCTTCTCCTGATTGTCCCAGGAAGACCAATGTTCTGCCCAAACTCTTCTTACTGCTCTATGTTCGCCCTGAGGTATTATTTTGTCTTGTTTATGGGGAAAATTTGGAGTGCTTGGAATTTTCTGACCTGCTCCACCCTCTTCCCAGAATCCTCTCTCAAAGAGTTTAATTCTGTTCAAGATGATACAACTAGCAAATGTTGGTGCCTGAATTCAAAATCTCCTATAGTGCTCTTTCTACACCATACTTGTTTGTCATTGAAAGGATTACGGACTGCACAGTACTTTCAATTTAGGTTTGGATCTCAAGATATAATGACACGTACTCAGTATAAACTTAACAAATTATCACATTTATTTTACAATGATTAATAATGATTAAGGCAAAACACAGATAAAGGTGAGAATAACATTCAATACAATAAGTAATAATCAAAATAAAGAAAGGGGGGAATAAGAAAAGAAAGGATACACACTCACTAACCAGGCGAGCTCAAATATACCTATTTGACCGGGGAGGCTGAAGAGCAGTCAAGAGGTCTAGTCAGACGGGCAGTGGGCGGCGTCCTGCTCCGACTCAGCAGAGGCCGTGCATGCTCCGACTCAACAGAGATTCCGCGTCCTGTCTCTGACATCAGAGTACTCCAAAAATCCCCTTCCAAATTACCCCTTCTATATCTATGTAAACCAGGGAAAAACAATCTTGATATTTCGTTTTGTGTACGTGTCCTTGGTGAGCTCAGGTCCAGGACACATACACACCTTTAACAAAGCTTGGGGCTTGAGCAGAGCCCAAAATACTTGTTTGTTGTGTAAATCTCCAAGGAGCGATCAGTTCTTGGACAGTTACACTCTTTTCTTAAGACAAATGTTCCTCCTGGGTAACAGTTTGTTACTTGATGTTCCAGTCTCCTTGGTCCCGGCCATGCATGGTAACTCCAATTTGTCTTTATGTCAGGTCATGAGGCGGTTACACCAGGGGGCTGGGGAGAATCTCCTCGGTTTCCCTTACACTGTTTTAAAAATATGGTTGTTGCCTTTTAAATTTTTTCTTATTTCTGCCTACTTGATTATTAATACAAACATGCTGTAAGGACAATGCAAAGGGCCTGGAGTCCATGTCACTTGAGGGCTCGTTGGGGGGAGGGGGTAGTGTTGATAGCTGCCATCATGTGCAGAAAGGGCCAGAATGCATAGAGAGCAGAGTCAGGAAATAGGTGGACATTGAAGAGAAGCAAATTTAGGTTTGATGGCAGGAAAAACTTCCCTGGCAATTGGAGAAGTCCAAAAGTGGCTGTGGCTGCCTTGAGAGGTGGTTAAGTTTCCTTTTCTCAGAGGTCTTCTGGCAGAGGGTAGACAATGACTACTGTTATGGTATAGTGAAGATTCCTTTTGAGTATGAGTTGGTCCTTTCCAACTTTGAAATTCTGTTTCTGTGATTCAGATTTGATGTTACCTTTTTTAGTTTTAAGCTTGGAAACCTATGTATAACTTTTTAATGTTTAAAAAAAAAAAGATGCCATCATGGTAAGTGAGGACTGTACAAAGCAATTCACTTGAGATTGAGAATTGAAGTTATGTTAATGGGTTTTAAAAATGCAAAAAAATCAGATGATGTCATACAGTGGCATGATAAAGTACTATGGATAGAGGGAATCATCTAGAGTGTTTAGAAATTAAGACACAAATCGAATATTCTTTAGCTCTTCTTTTGATTATATTTTTATTTTTTTTCCTGGTTTGTGTGGTGAAGAGTTTCGTTTTCTTTTGCCTAATTAGTTTATTTGCTATTATTTATTTGACCTTCTATTATCTCCCCCCCCACCACCTTTCAGTTTTCCTTTCACTTTTCTTTTTAGTTAACTAAAGAAGCCTGGTAAAATGGAATTCCTTTTTCTATTAAAGAGTAGAAAGAAAACTTAGATCCCTGGTTTGAAGGACTCATTTCATTAGATATCCAACAAAAATTAAAATTTCTCCATTATACTCTGTGTGTGAGTTGCAGGCTTGTCTTAACTTTTCTCATGGAGGCTCAAACAAAATTCGATAAGTAAATAACATAATTATTTAATCAGCATGTCTTTGTTGAGCACCTGTACATCCAAAGCATCTGTTAGATACTGTGGGGATTCAAAGCAATGTAAAATACAATTCCCGACCTCAAGAACCTTACAGTTTGTTGGAGAAAGAACATACATATTCCAGGTAGATGTGGGCAGGCAAAACAAAGAAGACAAGGCAGAGAAGAGAACACACACACAAAAAAAGTGTTGTAGACCAAGTTGTTGACTAAAACTGATGACTGACATGATTTTTTCCCCTTTTTTCCATGTAGTGTATAATTAGAATTTTTATTTTCTTAGGAAACACCAACCAAAGAGCTGGGACACCGAGGAGCAGAAGCAAATAATCAGGAGTCTGATAGTGCAACACCATCATTAGGTCCCAATGACTTGAACAGGTTTACAAACTCAGAAAGTTCAACCGATGAAGAAGGTATTTTGAAAATCTGAGATAAGCTTTAAAATGTAGTATTTATCAGTTCATTTGTATTCTTACAGATACTTAATGTTGCCTGACAATTTATCTCTGCTAAGAGAATTTTCATTTCAGTACAAGTTTTTTTTTGTTAATTGTTGTCAGCAGATTTTATTGTAATATGCAAAGTACTATGTATTTGGGTTCTTTTCTTAAGAGTAATTAAGAAGCAGTTTCAAAACCAGAATTTTTTTTTAGGTGGAGGTTTTGAATGGGATGATGACTTCTCTCAAGAGTCTTTTATGGCAAAAACAGCAGATAACCTTGGTTCTAAGCCCTCTCTTCAAACATCAAAGTACTTTTCTCCTCCACCACCATCTAGAAGTATCGAACAAAGTTGGTCACATGCATCGCCTTATTCCAGGTTTTCTATCTCTCCTGCCAACATTGCAAGTTTTTCTCTTACACATCTTACAGATTCAGATATTGAACAAGGAGGTGAGTGCCCATGTGACAGTGGGTACGTGTGCGCCAATGGGTACACGGGGGTGGGAGATTTGGGAAAGTGTTAATTCTTCTTTAAAGAAGGCAACCAACTAATATGGTAGAAGTTACTGTGTGAATACAGGTTTATTTCAAAGTGTCTTGTTTCTTACATCCATTATAGAAAACTCTTAATAAGATAATCACGAGCCTTAGATCTTATTCCACAAGCTAACTTCTTTTTATCCTATTTGTTCCATACCACAAGCTGAGTGTATTCAGTAAAACCAGATATGCCAGATGTCTGGTGGGGATTTTTAGGTTCCCTTTCACCAGAATGAACAGAGCTCCCTGGGGGAGCAATAACCTGTTCCTCCCCAGTGTCTTTCTGATCTTTGGTTTGAATTTCAGAAATAGCTCTGAATCATTGCCAGATGGAGTATGATATTCTCTTGCCCTTAAAAATCTTTTCTTCTCTCCCTGCCCTTTTAATACAGAAAGAGTAATACAAAGGATTGGTTTAAGCTCCTTAAGTGTGGGGCATCTCTAATTCATGTTTTTTGGTAACAGACCACACTTTGCTACAGTGGCAGTTGAGGCACCTCCTCTTCGAATTCACATTTGCTGTAAAGTGTTTTGTGAGGTTGTTTGTTTTTTTTTTTTAAACTAATATCAGTGTGTGGTAGATAGGGGTAGAAGTGAAGGGTCAGGGATACATATTAAATAGTATCTTAGAATAAATACCACCTTCTTTCATAGCTAGATTTAAAGATAAATGTTAATAGGTGCTCTGGCGTTGAGGTTTGCAAATCAAATAATTTAAAAGTAATATAAGAAGCTTTTATTTGTACTCGAGCTATATTTTACTTATACTGATTAGATAATACCAATTACCCAAGTAGTCCTACAAATAGGCAGATGTTTAGAGAACCTACCCAGTTTTTTTGCATGCTTCAACCTGTGACATTGAACTAGATGTGTGAGTTAAACAGATGTGTTTCTTCTGTATGAGAGTACAGCAGGTGTTGCTTTAAAGCAGAAAAATAAGTCAAGTGTTAAGTCCTCAATTTGCTTACTTTTCTACATAATGCATTTGTGTTGAATTTGAACTAGAAGATTTTTACCCTACAAAAATTGTTTATCTTTATGTCATCTTATTGTCTTTTTACCATATAGGAAGCAGTGAAGATGGAGAAAAAGATTAAGTGGGAAAAATACTTTTTTTAAAAATCAGAAACTGCTCATACAGGACAGCATGCCCACACTGCTGGCCTGCACAGTGTAAATACTGACAAACACAATTGTGTTCGGAGAGCCACTGTAGGCTTCTTCTGGAGTAAGAAGAGGAGAATCAAGAAACACAGAAATGTTAAATAAGGACTTTTGATGTGTATTTGTAATGCGTGTTTTTAATCAGTGCAATTTGCTTTTCATTTGGAAGAGATGAATCTACAGCTGTTTTAAAAAAAAAAACTTGAAGTATTAATTCTTCAGGCAATTGTTATTTGTAACAAACTTGTAAAGCAATTACACAACCTTCTGGTTATGTATGGGATTGTATCATATTCTTTTTATATTTTTCCATGTAGTTTATTCTATTTGAACCTACACCTGTCATAGAATTATACATAATTGTGTCTGTACAACAGGTGGCTGTGTCACTGAAACCGTATGAATGATAGTTGGTCAGTAGTGAGCCATATTTATTCATGGGGGGGAAATCACTAAATACATATTACCTTGCTTTCTGTAATTGCACTATGGATATATGTTCCCAGAGTCCCCAACATTGTACAGAATCAGAATCGTAAATTATTCAAGGAAAATAAAGCAGGTCAAGCTAGGGCTGTTCACTAGTTTGATTTCTCCTGTTTTTATATTTTGTTTGCTATGCATGGTACTTGTAAAATTTAAGTGAGTGTTATGCTGTTGTAGAATTTGCTGGAATCTTAAACCCAGTACCATTTTTCAAAATGATAAATAATTCTGAATGTTGCAGTGTTCGTGTTTTTATAGGAAATATTTTTGAGGAGTCTGAAAACACTGATCTGGGTTGCTCAACTGAATCAAATGCATTTACATTTCTTCTCTTAGAGTGACTTGAGAATATCAGACTTCTTTCCAAATAGTTGAAGGGTCTTTCAACCTGTGATTCTTAAGGGATGTGGAAATGATTTCACTCCTGAACTCCCTGGAGTAAAAAATAAAGCTACTGTAAAGCTTGGCCCAAATAAAATTTCTGAGCTTGTATTAACCAAATATGAGATTATTAAGTCAGATACTTCATAGTAATGTCATGAAGTTTTCTCAAAAATTAATTTGAAAGATCAGACTTACAATGACAGTTTCATTCACCTTTGCTTTAAAAAGGCAGTGATACCAAAACTGAAAATGGGAAATGGCTACCCCTGAAGTCTCTCTGCCTTAAAATAATTAAAAGTTAATTGCTGCTTACCTAGACGCCATCATTGTTTGATGTGAACAGTTGAATAAATCAGCAGCCTCCTAAGATGAACCTGGTTAACTCCAAATAGTTCTCCTGGATGGTGTGGCAGTCAGTCCATGAAATGAGTAACATGGTGCAGTTTAAGGTGGCGGCTAGCTTTAAAATTTTGTTAGCTAGATTTATAGACCCTTCAGATATTGCTGTTATTGGCCTGAGCACACAGAAGTCATTTTCTACTTTCTTTTTCTCTTTCTCTTTCTTTCTTTCTTTCTTTCTTTCTTTCTTTCTTTCTTTCTTTCTTTCTTTCTCTCTCTCTCTCTCTCTCTCTCTCTCTCTCTCTCTCTCTCTCTCTCTCTCTCTCTCTCTCTCTCTTCCTCTCCCTTCCTTCCTTCCTTCCTTCCTTTCCTTCCTTCCTTCCTTAAAGCAGGGATTTGGGGAAAATTGCCACTAGATGGGCATGACCATAAGCTGGCCCCAGTGCTCATGGGACTGGATGTTTCCTCCTGGACTAAATCACGGTGCTGTTTTTTAATTGTTTAAAAGCACTTGATTTTTAAGAGACTGGAATGCTTGAGACACAGCTTTGTGATTGTTCAGAGAAGGGGGAAAGGGATTTACTCTATAAAACAATGTTTTATTTTTTAAAATTGATAGTGGCCACAGGTAAGCCTAGTGTCCAGCTTCCCAAAATACTTTTACAGTTGCCAAAAAGATGCAGTGATATTGTGCTGGGTGAAGAATCAAGTTCGTGGTGAAGTTATTTATCATAAGGGAAAGTTTGCCAATCCGTGGGTTAGTTGATGCCATAGAACATTGTTCTTTATGTCATCGAGTACTCCTAAGACCCAAGTATAAAAAGCCTTACTCTCTTTAGTAAGTATGTTTTACAGTCTCCACTACTCTAATAGCTTTGAAAACATTGTTGGTCACAGTCTGTGACTAAGTGTTAAAAGATAGTTAAGACCAGTAGGCCATGGCACCTTATGACTTATGATCTTAGTTCAGTAATGCAAATTTTTATAAAATCTGTAAGTTTATGTAGTAAAATTTATGACCTACTTACTACATGTACACGTTGACTAATTTCTTGTAGTAGCATTAAAGTTCCACAGGGGAAAAAAATTCAAAGTAGAGACTGTGACCCTTTTAAAAACCACTATTTGTTGTATACACTAAACACTTGCAGGAGTCCCCAAAGAGCATGAAATCCTGTTTCAGAAACTGTATTCATATGTGTGTGTGTATTTTTGTTTCTTTTTAAATGACAGGGCATTAGAGTATGATTATGCCAAAATTAAGCCTCAGCTCTGAATTTCTTGCTATGGAGACTCCTTGAGTAATAGCAGTGAATGGTATGTTTTATAGGTAATCACTGACCTAAATTGAGTAAAAAATGAGATGGCTGCTCTAATTCAGCTTATACTGTTGACATCAGACATCAACAGATGTTAATTAAGCACCTACTAATACATTGTGGTAGGTGTGAGGATTCAAAGATCAAACAAAAAAAAATTGCCTCTGCCCCCCAAGGAACCCACATGGTCAGCCCATCAAGGTTTTCTTCAAACTTTTAGGCAATTTCTTTTTCACCATGTTTAAAGAGATTAGGCCATAGCTTCCATTTAATAGACTTTTTTTTTTAATTAGTACTACCCTGAGCCTCAATAAAGAGTTATTTCATTCAGTCTAAATGACATGTAACTAGTTGCCAAACATGCATCTTTATATGATCAATTTAGATTGGATTTTATGGAAAAATCTTACTGTATTAGAATATGGAAGGTAGAATTTATTTACTAAATGTGTGTTAGCATAGTATTTTGAAATTTCAAGCAATACACAGTAGATGGTTCAATAAAATAGATTTATAGTTGTCAACTCTGTGTTTGGAAATATTAGCATGTAGTTCATTGTTCAAATTTAGGGGGTTTTTGTTACAAGCAGTAGGATTTTTTTTAATGTTACTTGTTCTAAAGCAGATTATGCAATTGAAAGCAAATCATTGGGATCCTTCAGATTAGATAGAATTGGTTTATAATACTTGGTCCACAACAGATATTCATTGCTAAACTTCCTTTTGATAGTTCAAAAAATATCCAGTTTTAGGTTGCATCTTATTTTTTTCAGTGGTTTATTGCTGAATAGCTTGTTTCTATCAAGTAAACCCCATATTATCTACCCTTTTAAAATTGCCTTTGTTGTGTCTCTAAAGCAGTTAACGGATTTTCTCAGATGATCCCATAATCAACCTAAAATAGAAATTCATGAAAAGAACTTTCAGAATCTCAGATAACCTGATTTAATGTTTACAAATTAGGCCTTCGGGGTAAATAAACCACAGATATGTTTAATTTGAAATAAAACATACGGTAATCTGGCTTTCACATGTATAGATGGATGGGTAACCACTTTTGTAGAGATGGGCTTATCTAGGAAAGGTTATTGTATATTTCTGCTGCACTAAAAATCCTTTCAAGCCACCTCCTTTTATTACTATTTTAAAGAGTAAATTTATAGGATTTAATGAATCTTTTTGAGTGTGTATTGAGGGGCTTGGCTAAAGGGAGAACTTCTAGTTTTGAACTATGTACTAAGCACTTCATTTAAAACATCAGAAGTGAATCAAGTGTTATAAATCCAATTGTTTGGATATAGTGATGGGTAGCATCAACATATATTAGCCTTATGAGAAACAGCCTTAAAATAAGAATGGGGTGTACAAAATAACTTCAGCTTTAAGTCACAAAAACAATATTCTGAGATATTAATGGTATTAGTTCAAGTCTTTGATTTGAAAAACAAAATTTCTGTAATAAAAAGGACATTAAAGATGTGTTGACAGTATTTGTGATACCAGCAGCCTGTTAAAGATATGTTTGAATGACTTAAAATAATTTGGTTTTGTTTAATAAGTTGTTCAGATTTGCACAGGCCTAGGTGTAACTTGATAATGGTACTGATGTATATATAATGTTGAATTATGTTTGTAAATGAGGAATTGTGTAATAAAATCATAGGTATGAGGGTTTTCATATTGTAATTTAATACAGGTATATGAGGTTTATGGCAATATCATAGTTAATGAAATTTCAGGTCAAATTGTCTTTAAATTGTGTACATTTTTAAATTGTAAGATTTCTACTGTATATTGATCATGCATAGTGTGATTCAATAAATTGCTTGTAATTTAAAACTATTTAATATTCAAAATAAAAAATATAGTTATATATTTATAATCTCTGTTTCTGTGTTCATTTACTACATCTTCACTGTAAGAGAAAAAAACAACATGTCAATTCATGGAGTTTACAGTGGTCCTGAATGGTCAGCACCCCCTACCCCTTACTTAGGATAGCATCTGAATTGTCCCAGTTGAATTAAGAATCTATCTTATTTTGGGGGGCAGCTAGGTGTGCACAGTGGATAGAGCACCAGCCCTAGAGTCAGGAGTACCCGAGTTCAAATCTGGCTTCAGACACATAACACTTACTAGCTAATGTGACTCTGGGCAAGTCACTTAACTCCAATTGCCTCACCAAGAAAAGGGGGGGAAAAAGTCCTATTTTTCAAGAGCTCATCAGAAGGCTTCTGAATCTCTGGGTAATGATAATGCTTTCCAAGATGGTGAGTACTCTCCTTATCTTTTGTCACCTTTTGTTTAGGCCCTGCAGCTCTTACACTATGACTCCAGAAATATTTGTATAACCCACTAGGTTTACTTTTCATGTTAACATTAGTTAACTGCTAATTCAAATAGATCTTTATCTCATCAATTCGGGAATTGCCTCCAGCAGTGAACACAATTTATTCATGTCTGCCCATTTTGTGCAACTCTTGTCCTCAGAGGATCCATCCAATCTGCCAGAGGCCTCCTTTGCTTTCTCCTGGCATTAGAGAGATACTAGAGGAGCACCTTGTCCGTCCATCCATCATCCCTCATTCTTGCCACATGACCAGCCCATCTCTTATTCCTATCATACAATTCCTTGATGACATCTTGTACCTCTCTTAGCTTGCAATTCACTCAGTTCCCCAGATCTTTGCCAGACAAACCACCTAACCATATTCCAACCACTACCACCACCACCATCTTATATTGATGAAGTTGATTTTTTTGAATCCATGTAAAATTTCCCATTTATCCCTATTGAATGCCATCTTATATTCAGCCTGCTGCTTAAGCTTGTCAAGATCTTTTGGGATCCTTACCCTGTCGTTGAATCTCTTCGCTATCCCTTCCAGCTTTGAGTTATCTTCAATTTTATCCAGGTCATTGATAAAAAATATTAAACAGCATGGGGCCATCTACATATGGAAGGATGGAGAAGGGGGGGTGCTTCTAGAAACCTCCCTCCCAACTGATCCTGAATCCAGTCATTCAGCAAGCTCCGAATCCATCTAATTATCATCTTTCCATCTTTTCCACAGGAAGAAAATGAGGTATTTTAATCAAGTACTTTGCATGTATCTAAATAAACTTCATCTCTGCCATTCCCTGATCTAGCAGTTTAATAACCCTGTCAAAAAAGAAAAAAAAAACTACTTCATCTTCTAAATGGGTACCAACCTGTCCCAGAATTGTTTTTGCACTTAACAGTATTATGTTTTTCCCCATTACATGTAAAGATAGTTTTCAACATTCATTTTTATGAGACTTTCAGTTCTAAATTATCCCCCTCCTCCTCCCTCTTCCCTCCCCAAGGCAGCGAGCAATCTACTATAGATTATACATGTACAATCATGTTAAACATATTTCCACATTAGTCATGTTGTGAAAGATGAATCAGAACAAAAGGGAAAAACCATGAGAAAGAAAAAAATATGGAAACAGTATGCTTCTATCTGCATTCAGACTCCATGATTCTTTCTCTGGATGTGGATAGCATTTTCCATCGCGAGTCTTTCAGAACTGTCTTGGATCATTGCATTGCTGAGGAGAGCTATCATAGCTGATCATCACACAATGTTGCTGTTACTGTGTATAGTGTTCTCCTGGTTCTGTTCACTTCGCTCAGCAATGGTTCATGTAAGTCTTTCCAGGTTTATCTGAAATCCACTCGCTCATCATTTCCTCTAGCACAAAAGCACTGGGGATATGAAAAAAAAAGGCAACAACAAAAACAACACACACAAAAAACCCTTCAGAAAACAATCCCTGCCTCCTAGGATTTCACAGTCTAATGCACTACTACCTTTTGGGTATTTCAGATTAGCTATCCCATAGGCATTGTCCAAAACATAACTCATCATCTTTCCCCACCCCAAAAAAAATCCCTCTTCCAAACTGTTCTAATAATGTTGCGAG